TCACAAAATGCAAGTATATTTAATGTTACTATATATTCTTCTTTAGTGGTTACAGCTAATCTGGCTGTGTAGCGTACGCTGGAATACTGCCATTTTGATTTACACGCTTTCCAGAAACTCAATTTTTGGGTATTTCACATTGGCAGGGAACAACGACCAATCTAGCGAAGTAGACTACGGTAAACAGCATTGAACGTATTCTCCTTTGCCTTTGTTTGCAGTAACAATGCTGTAGTCATCTTTAGCCGCGTTGAAGAACAGACGCCTAATCTTTAATGACTGCTCAGCTGAAATTTATTAGTTTCAAGGCCACAGTCTAATTAAACTGATTGTCCTCTACATACTTTCGGGAGCAAGATCAAACAACGAAGGGTTTGAAAATACGGTGAAATACAAAGTACGATCTGCATTCCGCAACCAAAAAGTCAGAGAGTAGAACCAATTTGTTTTTGTCTATTTCATATTATAGCTAGTGTTTCGATCATTATCTCAAGCTGTATACAGTTGCAGAATAACCTCAACTGGAAGTGGCGGCCGCATTTTCAACACTTTCTCCATTAAGCACCGGCTACTGCCCCATAGCAAAATAAAACAGTTACTCTCCAACTACAGATTCACCTCTATCTTGTTAATTCCTGTTGCATGTTGGCTTAATGGTCTACACCTGCCATGCTTCGGTCCTCTACTGAAAAGCACACGGACTGCAGTGAAGGATTTATACTTAGCCAATTTTCATGGAAAAAATCCTTCGCTAGAACGTCTACCTACATGACATACAGCAGTGTTGCTTTGACCGAGGGAATGCAGAAGCGGATTTCTGTGCAAACGAATGTCAGCTCATATGTATATATGACAAACTACCGAATACTGGACACGTTTCAAGGAAAGAAGACATCGTAAGCATAAATACCGGTTAAGGAATATGTGAAACCTTATTAGGGACGACTTCATCTAGCGTAGCGTTTATCCTAACTATTGCGCTTGCAGATATGCTTCTGACATGAATTCCTTGTGCATGCTAACTCTGGGAT